CAATATAATAAAAAAAATATCGATGCCTGTGATGCGAATGTGTTCCGCAGGACGGTGGTTGTCGGTCTCGAGGATGATTTCTTCGTATCACTGGATATGACTCATCGCTGTCGTCGTCGTGAGCAGCTACATTTTGTTGTTGAGGAGCTGATGACGATGTAGCACTTCCATAGAATAAGGACCTTGGAGGTGTATATCCGACTATCCCACCGCTCATAGATAACTACGAAAACTCATAAAACCCGGACATCACTGAGTGTAAAAACTGTACAGGAGGTGATTGTACGGCGGCCATGAGTGATGAGGCTGCACCCGCCAAATAACCAACATATGAACCCTAAGTCAGATCTACAAACATAAATCTATAATATCCTCCAAGAGGGGTCATATAACTCTTTGACGGTGGTGGCGGCGGGGTCATAAAACCAGGTGAAGGCGGCGACGGTGACATCGGTTAAGGCTTTGGCGGCATCATATATGACTGCGGTATGTAAGTCGCTGCAGACGGTGACTATTGTGAATGTCCTGCTGGTGCAGCTGAGGACGAATCGGAAGCTCCTGCTCTCCGTCCACGAGTCGGGGGACGATGGTGCAGTGACAATAAATGTCTCTGTCGAAGTCGTTAAAAGGTCCGCCCTCGTGCATCCTCAGAAAGCAGAAACAATTTCTCATTACTGTTGAACCACTGATAATAATCATCACCAACAATCAATAGGTCATCATAAATGGGCTCTCTACGGGGAAGGAGCCGATGTCGATCCTCCCACAGCACGATCCACTCATGATGCTTCACCAGTCAATATGTATATGTCTTGCCGCGTCGATTTGTACTATGCAACTCGTCCATATTGCGAGGTGCTTCCGGAATTGGTTGAAAACAACCAAATTGCCGGAGCACGCGATCAGTTAAGTGTCACTCAACGATCGCATAACAAATCAAAGGGACAATCGCCATCCAAACATCTGATGGGCTCCTAAACTCAGGTGGGATCGCCATCCTCACATCATCGTTAAAATATGACATCCATTAAAACTAAAACAAATATATATAATTTTTATCAAAATAATAATCTAATTATATAACTATAATCTAAAATCGATTTTTAAACATTAAAATGAATACCTGTGTGCCAGCCTTCTGGTCGATTAGCACCCTAATTTTTTTTCTAAATTATCAGGTAGCTCCCGATGATTTTCCTGTCAGCAGACCACCTATTCAATGAAATTTTTTTATTATACACTGTATACAATGATTAATATACGAAATCATTTTTATAATTACCTCAACAGTAGCGAAAATACGAATGAGTTCTTCACAACGGGACATAAAAAGGGCAATCGATACCATGCCCAAGACTGCAGCAGAAGGAGACATCTACTGATAGCATTTTTTCTATAGTCAGTCGCTCGACACATCTCCCTATACAGGAAAACCAAAACTGCCGAGCAACTGAGTGATCCGGCCAAATGAAAGTCGACAAGATGTCGCAACCACATACAGTGAACTTGGTTACGCGATTTGTCTGGCATCAGCAACCCTCCTATAAGCTACATTATGCATGCCCGTGCATACATTTTAACTTCATCTTCATAGGCGTCTGCGCTCAACTCCCGAAAATTGGCATCTAATCAATTTAATGGTATCCGACCACTGTTAAAACTTTCAGGGACACGTCCTAGATTATCCCGGCACAAAGTAGCCCAGGAACCGTGCGCTATCCCTGATATCACACCTCTATCCACCGGAAGCCCCATGTGCATAGAAACATCCTCAAGTGTAATCGTGCACTCTTCGCACGGAAGATGGAATGTGTGGGTCTCCGACCTCCATCGCTTCACTAAGGCATAAATAAGGTATGGTTCTATCTTACAGTGACCTCCATATCTACCTATGTGACAGAATCCAGCCTCTACTAAATACGGCCAGACACACGTAGGTATCTCTAACTTCAGGTTCCTAATAAAAGGATCTAAAATACGACCTCTCTCCTAAAATATAAATAATTACAAAAATTAATTTATAAACTAATAATCATGCATTCAATAAATAAATAAATTATTACTAATAATTGAAATTAAATTAAAACGTTAAAATGTTACCGTATCAGCAAAATATCGAGATATGTGATTTCCATTCAAACGAAGTAGACAGCATTCCATTTTATATCTGCAAAAAATTAAATAAATAAAATATTAAATAATTTAAATAATTAAATAAAATAATAACAAAACACTAAATATAATAAAATATACCTTAAAGAGCGATATGAGAATATAAAGAGTATTTGAAAGAAGCTTAGAGGATTTGATGTGATGAAATTGATTAAGAATTGATGTATTTATAGGGTGAGAAATGGGTGTGAACAGGAGGGGTAGGTGTTAAGCAAAGGCGCACTCCTTACTGACTTGTGTTATAATTTCAGCAAAGCGCGGCCCCTGCACTGTGCTATAGCCCTACGTGGCGTAAGGCGCGCCCCAGGGGCCGCGCATTACCACGTGTATCCCAAGTCATCATAAGACGCGCTTCAGGGGGCGTGCTTTACTGCAAAGGGTATTAGATCGGTAAAAAAAGTTGAAAGGGTGTCTAACAGGTAATATTAGTGTGTCAGGGTGATTATTTGGAAAAAAAAATGTCATATATAAAGTGATATTATTATAATTATTCATAAATATATAAATTAAAAATATTTTTTCGGGTCGGGTCAGGTCGGGTATTTTTCACCATAAATCCGAATCCGACCCGAACACACCTTAAAAAACCGATTTGAACCGAACCCGAATCCAAATTAAAAAAAACTCAACCCGATCAAATAGAATCGAGTCGAAACCCATCGAATTCGGCCGTGCACATCCTAGTTTTTTCTACCATGTAGGACGGCACATGAGTGGGAGAGGAGGAGAATATGCTAATTGAGGCGAGGGTGTCTAAAATCTCGAGTGCAAGAAGACCGTGTTTGGAGAGAGTGGGACCCAATGGAATACCCTCTCGCCCAATCAGACGCCCACATGCTTTTCGCCGACTTTTCGCCAAACGCGGTTGTATGCTTTTTATGGCCCCCACCTTTGTCCACTTGTCTTTTTGTTTATTCATTCCAATCTCGTAGCCCTTACAATAATATTAAAAAGAAAGTCAATTTTTGGGATCAAAGGATCCTAATTGTCATTTTAAATAAATATTTCTATGGTTAAGAATATAATCATTATTACTTTGCATTAAAAAAATATCAAGAAATCAACGCAAATCATTAATCATGCCTAAAATGATTATTTTGAGTTAATTTCATGTCCTAATTGTATATCATTGTACGAGTATAATTATTGTTAATAATTCATTTGTTCGTTAACATTTTAAATTAAAAATATATAATTATGCAAAAATAATTTGAATACTCCTTGCTTTTAAAAAAGTTGCAAATTGAAATATATAGTTAATTAATTAAGCATTTTATTTGGAGGATTGTATTTACCATCCCATCCTTTTAGAACACAGTGGGAACCCTAATGGGTCATGGTATTATGAGCTTTTTAATGGTTACCACAAGAAGTGGCCAGAGTGTGGATAAGTATGCCAAGGGTAGAAAAGGTTTGTAATGGATAACCTTGGATTTTCCATTATATTTTATTTATTTGTCATAAACAAAATTATCAGTAATAATTAGATAACGGTACACCCACAAAAATAAATAAATAAACTAAAAAGAAAAGGTTATATAAAAATGTAATTGAAAAATAAATGGTAATTTCCTATAACATTTTTAAAAGGATTATTTGATATGAAATAAATTGATTGATTTATTTGATTAAATAACTTTTAGTATTTTGAAAAAAATATAACAAAATTATTTTTTATATAGTGACATCAAATTAAATTAAGTTGTTTCTCAATTAGTTAACTAATTAAGTATGATTTTTTTTAAAGTTTAGGTAAGGGGTTGATTCCAGCTTAGGTTAAGGCGTACCTAAGATTCAATTGAGATTTATATAAGAATTTATAAATTATCCACCAAGAGTGACAGTAGTAAGATTCAAACTTAACCTTATAAACTCAAATTTCTAAATCTCAATTACCTGTATCAACGCTAATTGATGTTAATTAATTAAGAATGATCTATAAGAAATTAAGCACAACGATATAGTAAAGGAAGTGGAATTAATTAACTTATTGGTGAAATCAAAAGTATAAAACCAAAATTCATTTTTAGTGCATTTGCCATCATTAGTTGGTGGAGCCTAAGAAACACAGTAATGATAACAGCACCAACTTTGTCTGTTAATTATATGATTAATTATTTATGTTTGTACTATTTTATCTTATCGATTTCAAAATTATAATATATTATCATTTTTATTTTTATTTAATTAAAATATAATTATCACAAGTTAATTATCATTAACATTTAATAGATTAGGTGATGTGATAGTTAAATATTTTGATATAATTACACATTTAATCTTTATTATTTACATATTATCTCAATTGAGTAATACTTTTAATAATTTTTAGATAAATTTAATCATCCAATGATTAATGTCACATGTCACTAGTGTCATGTGTCGTTACGTAATCTATTAACAGTTAATCTGCGGTGACCACAATAAAAATGAATATGACCATATATTATATTTTTTTATATCAGTGAAAAAAAATAGACAAAACAGAATCACAAATAAATAAATAAAAATAAATGTAAAAGAACAAATATAAATAATTTGATCATTCGATCAAATAGACTTGCTCCTGATACGATTTGTTAATCATTTTGATATGCTAATAATTTAATCATATTATATATTATGGTTAAACTTGAATTTAAATAAAAAAATTTGTCTAAAATTTAACCAGGTTTTTAGCCAAAACCAATCTATGTTCACTCACTCCATTACAAACATTCTAAATGTAACATCATCCATGACATCAGTTTCCACGTGGCAACATCGTGTCCATTGAAAGTCCATAACCCAGCATTCCAAAACCATATATCATCTTCCGGGAAGATAATTTTCGGCCCTCTTTCCCAACAGTTTCACATACGATCCACACACTTCATTTGCAATTCATCTAGCAAATACACTACAAACAAGAGAGCTTTTGAGTGAGAGTGAGAGAGAGAGATAGAGAGAGAGAGAGAGAGAGAGAAAACAAAAAAGAAGGCTAAAGTTGGATTCCCATAGTGTTTTTCACGTAAAAACTTGTATTTGATAGCCATTATGGACAAGTATCACACGATTAATTTCGAAGAGACGGAGTTACGTTTAGGGTTGCCGGGAGGCAAGGGAAATGACGGCGAAACCACCGAAAACAACGGCAAACGAAGGTTCTCGGAGACGGTTAACCTGAAGCTTAATCTATCAACAAAGAAGGCCGAAGCTGATGAGTCAGAGAAGATGGAGGAGAAGAGCTCTATCGCTCCTCGCTCTACTGACCCTGCAAAGCCTCCTGCAAAGTAAGCTACGATCATTTTTTTTTCATTTTTAAATGATATATCGAGAAGAAATTCATATATTGTTTGTTATAGTATTTTTTAATATTGTTGAACACTAATTTGAACTTGTAGAGGATGAGTCTTCATTGGATCTTAAAAAGTGGAAAAAGAAAAGAGTTTATATGTTTGTCGGGGAAAAGAGGGAAAACAACACAACATGTGGAATCTTTTAGTGCTTTTCCCACCAACCAAACAATAATTCAAAAATGTTTTCAACAGGAAAGTGGCTAAGAAAGTCTTTCATTTTCAATATTTTTCTGCTCTTTCAGGGCACAAGTGGTGGGATGGCCACCGGTCAGGTCCTTCCGGAAGAACATCATGGCGGTCCAAAAAGCCAGTTCCGAGGAGGAGAGTGACGGAATGAAGGCCGGCAACGGAATAGCCGCCGCCTTCGTTAAGGTGAGCATGGATGGTGCACCTTATCTACGCAAGGTGGACCTCAAACTTTACAAGAATTACCAACAACTCTCTGATGCCTTAAGCAAAATGTTCAGCTCCTTCACCATTGGTAATTGTCATAAACCCAAAATTAAATATAACATTAGCCATTGATAAACAAAACTTAATCATTATTATTTGGATTAATGATTTAGATAACTACGAGTCACAAGGGATGAAAGATTTCATGAACGAGAGCAAATTGATAGATCTTTTGAATGGTTATAAATATGCCCCTACCTATGAAGACAAAGATGGAGACTGGATGCTCGTTGGAGATGTTCCATGGGAGTAAGTTAATTTTCAACTTTCAATTTTAATTAATATTCACTTCATTATTAATTTCTCTTTCACATTTTATAGGATGTTCGTCGATTCTTGCAAACGTTTACGAATTATGAAAGGATCTGAAGCGATTGGACTTGGTTAGTTCGATTTTTAAAAAAAGTATATATTAAAATTAGAATCAAATTTCGATTTTTGAGTTGACTCGAATACTTCTACTGTCCTGATTTAGAGAGAAGAAATCTATATGTAAAGAAGTTTATTTGATAAATGAAATTATTAATGCAGCACCAAGAGCAGTAGAGAAGTGCAAGAACAGATGCTGAAGTTGGTTCAACAAGAAACAGAAGAAGAAACAACATCAAAATTAATAAAAAAAAAATTATTATGAGGAATATATTTTGGAGAAATAATAGAAAAAACAAATGTTTATTTTCAATGGTTTGTTTAATAATATCTCTAAAATATTATTGTTTTTGGTTGTCTGAGTGTTTTTCTTTTTCTTTTTGTAATATTTTGCATGTATTTGTTTATTGTCACGTATGAAAAGATTCTCTGAAATTACTGTATTTATTATTATTTTAATAAACTTTATAATATAATTGGTTGAGGAGACATGTAAACAAGGACAAAACTTTCGAGATAATGTTCTGAAAAAAATTAATTCACGAGATAAAGCACTCCCAAGATTAATTACTCAAATAAGGTGAAATCCACAGTGTTGGTCGTAGGTCGCCATGCCTTCTGGGCGACCTACTAGGTCGCCATGTCTTCCCGGCGAGCTATAAGAGATTGCATGTGCCATGCACGTCCCAACACGCTGGGCATCCGAGGCCATCCGAACGAGCTATGCGAGGGCATCCGAGCGAGCTATGTGAGGGAATCCGAGGGAAGCCGAGCAAGGGTAGGTCGCCCGGAGGGCATGGCGACCTATGTGTTGGGACGTGCATGTGCCATGCAACACGTTCATTCTCTCTGTTTGAGCAAGGGTAGGCCGCCCGGAGTGCATGGCGACCTACAAGGTCGCCACCTACGGCCAACACTGTTGATTTCACCCTATTTGAGCAATTAATCTTGGGAGTGCATTAGCTCGTAAATTAATTTCTTTCAAAACATTATCTCGAAAGTTTTGCCGGTAAACAAGATCCAGGAATAAGGTCATAAGGTGGAGCAAAGGCCATGTGCAATTTGTTGGGAATCATTTAAAGAATCAATTATTACCAATTTTCAATTAATTTTCAGTGCTGGTACTGTGTATTTTTATTGCAATTTGCAGACTAATGTAGACCATAGAATTTTAATAATAAAAAAACATAGTAACTTCTTTTAGAATATTAAAAAATAATTAAGAAGTAATTATTTTTAAACCAAAATATAATAACATTTCTGTCATTAATAATTTAATTTTCGTCAATGCCTTTGAAATAAATTCAATGAACCCGAATTAATTGCAAACTGAATTAGAGTGACATTTGGTGTCTAAATGACTTGAAGCAGCTCAACCAGGAGCCTAATTTATTCTCTTTGGCGGCCTTTTTTTTTTTAAACTAAAATTAGGGAAAATTACACATTTAGTATCTAACTATCAATTTTATCTTTCAAAATTTTCAAAACCATACCTAAAGTTTTTATTTCATTTTAGTACCCGCCGTTAAATACTTTAATTTCCGTTTCATTTTAGTATCTCGTTCAAATTTTAATGCTAAATTTTGAAGAAAAAAATAAAAGTTTAGATACTAAAACGGGTCAAGACTGTTAGTTTAGATATTAAATGCGTTAAGTTTTTAACGATGAGTACTAAAATGAAATAAAAACTAAACGTTAGGTATGATTTTGAAAAAAAATAAAAATTTAGGTATGAAAATGTACCAAAAGTGATAGTTTATATGCTAAATACGTAATTTACCCTTACAATTATTTGGGTTTTTTAATTATTATCTGAAATTGAGGATTTGGTTGGGGCAATAAGCATCACTTTGATATCTCTCCCAACATGAAACGTGGTATTTGTCAAATTGGTTTCTTTCTTCTTCATCTTCTTTTCAATTTTAAAAAGCTCGTCTACTTGGAAATTAATATCTCAGGGTATGATCTGGTTAACGAGTGATTATAAGTATATTTTATTCAAAAATATAAATTTAAAATATATACAAAATATTATTATATATTCATATATAAATATAAAATTTCAAAAACAAAAATCAGTAAATAAAATTTTTAATTTAATTTAAAAATATAATAGGAATACATTTAGCAATTCACACTATATTAATTGATGTTATAATTAATAAACTTTTAGTTAATTAACTATTTTTATTTAAATAAGAATTAAAATGATCAAAATATTAAAAGTTAGAGTGAACAAAAGAGTAAGGATTAAAATATTATAAAATCAAAGTCTAAGGATGAGTTTTATGCCGAAATTTAATCGGATAGAACATAGGAGGCCCACGTAATCAGCCCATTTTAAGGCCACATGCTTTATCTTTAGGTTGGGGAAGATCGTACGTATATATTCAGGTAAACGAACCGAACGAATCTCAACAGTGATATCTTCATGTTTGTTTGATTAATTTTAATCGGATAAATAAATGAATGTGGACAATAAACGAACGATTTTTTTTTGTTCGTGTTCGTTCATAAGAAATGTAGTTTATTCGTGTTCATTCATGTTTGTTTATTAAAATGATAAACGATCACAAACGAATGAATATAACGAATAGACATAAAATTAATTGAGTTTATATTTGATAAGAGTTTTTTATCCCAAATAATTTTAGGGTTTATATTTTCTCAATTGATTTGTGTATTTTTATTTTGGTTTAAAATTAATTGGATTTTAAAATATTAAATAGGTTTAAGGTTAAAATCTATTAGGTATTAATATTTTAAATAGTTATGGAGTTTGGGCTAAACAAAAATGAACATAAACAAATGAGTTATCGCACATTCTGAATGTAAATAAACGAATAAGTCTTTGTTCGTGTTTGTTCATTTAATTAAGCATACATAAAATCTTGTTCATATTCGCCCATTTAATAAATAAACAAACATAATCAAACAAATTACTAAGCGTAAATGAAGGAACGAGAGATTTGTTTATGTTCGTTCATTTAATTAAACGTACATAAAATCTTTTTCATATTCATTCGTTTAATAAATAAACATAAATAAATAAATTTCTCACCAAACAGTTAAGGTTTCGGTCAACGTTCGATCCATTTGTAGTCCTATATATATACCTTTTCATAAGGTCAAATGTAGCAAGGTTGTAGTCTTACTATCATTATTCGTAATTTTAGCCCTCATTGTTTTGATATTTATCGCAATTAACGTCTCATTGCATTTTCGTTGTATTTAATTTTAATGTTATTTTTTAAAAATTAATTAAATAGAAAATGAGTGAATAAAATTGATCTTAAACCACGGGAGAGTGTAAACTGTAAAGGAAACATTTTTGGTCAGAAACATTTCTTATAACATTTTCGGTTAGCCTTCTGAATAACATTTTCGGTTCAACCGAAAACGTCAAAGAAATTAATATTTTAGGTTGCACCCAATCGACAACGATATGATTTTTACAACATTTTCGGTCGCACTCATTTCTTAGTGTTACTTAGCCTTAAATTAAGCTGTAGTAGGACGAAATTACCCTTAAACCACACTTAAAACGAACCCTGTAAATGATTTGGTACAAAAGTGTAATCTTACACAAAATTGGAACATATGTAGAAGAAACATATAAACAAAAATCCAGAGTCTTTCTTTGTTTCTCATCAGTAATCATTTGACGTGTGCCCTTTCCATTTTTAATGATAACATCTTTCAGAAAGAAACATTTTTCTCTTTGTTTCACTTTCCACAATTCACATGTACTGTAAATCCTTAAAACACTTGGCACACAGTTCCTCTACCTTTAAACTCACCATTCTCTAATTTCACAAGTAAACTCTCATCTTCACCAAACTGCTAATTACTCAACTGAATCAAACCTACATGAATATTACACCAACTCTTTGACATTGGCGACCTCGAATTCCGAGGTAAGCTATCTTCTAAAAAGTTAAAGAACGCATTGTGGCTGAACTTTACACCGTCCAGATAAGAGTTTGTTTTTGAAGATAGAGACTGATGAGCGCAAGGGTTATGGTAGATGTGAACTGTGGAAGTACGATAAAAGGTGAAGTAAATAAGGAAGTAATTCTTTTTGAAAGGTTACTGTAAAAATAAATTGTAAAAAAGATGTATGTAAAAAAGATTAATGGCCAGACACAAAGAAGAAGGGAAATAGGATTTTTTGTTTGAAGACAAATAAACCTTTTGATTCTCTCAGCAACACGACTGCTTTACAGAACATGCCACAGCTTGCGCCCAATGCCTTAGCTTCGACTTCACTTGCTGAGGACTATCTCCTGACAAATGTATATGAAAGGTTTTATTAGGAATAATGCAAAAATTGCCCCCCCAACATTATCCAAAAAGGTCATTTTGCCCCTATTCTTTTTTTTTAACATTTTTCCCTTGACGTTTCATTTTGGTGTAAAAAGCTCCAAAATAGGAACTTTGTTAACATAGATGAAACATTGGGGGCTAAAATGCCCAGAAAAAAAAAAAGAATAAGGGACAATGATTATTTTAGTAAATGTTAAGGGTCTTTTTACCCTAAAATAAAATATTGTGGGTCAAAATGCTCCCAAAAAAATAGAGTAGGGAAAATCACTATTTTGGTAAATGTTGGGGGGATAATTTGGGTATTATGCCATTTTATTATTTTGTAGCTTCGATTTTATTTAGGGTAAACTATTTGGATAGTCTCTTTTGTTTCTGGTCTATTCTAGTTTGGTCATCAGTTTTTTTAAAAAAAAGTTTGGTTTTGGTTTTTTACATTTTTGGGTTATAACATTTTGGTCACTCCCCCTCCGATAGGTTATGTGGCACGTTATAAAAAATTGTTAACCTCCATTAGGGGTGAAATATAAATTTTCAGAAGTTTATGGGTCCATTTAGAAATTAAGGTTTTTTGTTAACTTCCCACGTCAACAATCCAATGGATGTTAGCCTCTGCGTGATAAAAAAGTTATAACCCGAAAACGTAAGTGATCAAACCCAAACATTTTAAAAATCAGTGACCAAAGAAGAACATATCAAAAAATGGGACCATCAGTGCAGTTTGCCCTTTATTTACTATTTGTATTTAAGAATTACCCGCGCTGTACCAATCTGGCTCATTTTTAGGGCTTTCAAGATATGGTGATCAATAACCAACTGATGGTGATGGTGATGGTTGTTAGATTTGTCTAGAAATTAAGTTGGCAAGTTGGAAATTTCATCTTGGTTCGTGGCCAACTTATTAGAAATTTCATCTTGGTTGGTGGCCAAACTTTGAACATGTGAATTTCATATTTGGTGGCTAACTTGTACACATTGGAAAATTCTTTGGTAGGTGGCCAAACTTTGAACATATTGTTCTTGAAACTCAACTATAAATAGGCCTAAGTATTTTCATTAGAAATCATCCCAAAAACAAGTTCTCTCTTCCTCTTGTATTCTTCATTCTCCCACTTTGGGAATTCCAAAGAATTTCATTTGTTGTAATATTGGCGATATAGTGAAGTTATCATCCGGTGTGGTGCCCGAGGAGTAGACGATATTCTCGTCGAACATCGTAAATTTGGTGTGTTCTCTCCTTTATTGTTTTTTATTCGGTTCTTTTCCATTGTGTTTCAATATTCAATAGTTTGACAGGTTTATCCGTTGTGCAACCTTTGGTGGTTTTAATCTTGACAATTTAGGTCAATTTTAAAACTACGTTCGTGTGGGAAATAACCCGTTTTCCCCAACAATTGGTATCAGAGCTTCGGTTAAGGTTATCCTGGTGGTTCCGTTGCTGAAAAGATATAGTTCGTGATATTGAATATTGTTCGTTAGAATTAAAATACCAAAATACGGATCAGTTGAGACATCAAGCTCTTCATCTGGACCGGAGAGGAGGGTGATGTCAAATGCAAATTTCTCGGTGGAGTTGTTTGATGGATCCGGTCATTTTGGCATGTGGCAATGCGAGGTGTTAGACGCTTTATTCCAACAAGGTCTAGACATCGCCATTGAGGAAGAAAAGCCCGAATATATGGAGGAGAAAGAATGGGGAACAATCAATCGTTTGGCGTGCAACACGATTCGATCTTGTCTTTCCAGGGAGCAGAAGTATGGCTACAAGAACGAGACTTCTGCAAGTAAGATGTGGAAAGCTTTGGAAGAAAAATTCCTGAAGAAAAGCTCTCAATATCGTCTCCACATGAAGAAAAAATTGTTCAGATTTGATTATCAACCATACACTAGTATGAATGAACACATCACTGCGTTCAATGAGCTAGCGGAAGACTTATTGGGCATGGATGAAACCTTCAAAGATGAAGATTTGGCTTTGATGTTGTTGTCATCTCTTCCAGATGAATTTGAGCACCTTGAGACAACGTTACTTCATGGTAAGGATAATGTTACCCTTAAAGATGTAATTGTTGCTTTGTATAGTTATGAACTCAGGAAGAAAACCAAGAAGGAGAGCAAGTACGAAGCAGCAGAGGCCATGGTGGCAAGAGGTCTCTCGAAAAGTCAAAAGCCAAAGTGGAGAGGGAGATCAAAGTCGAAGTCCAGACTGGGAAAAGATGAATGTGTCTTTTGTCATGAGAAAGGCCATTGGAAGAAAGATTGTCCGAAGCTGAAGAAGAAATGAAAAGCTGCTCTAGATGCATGTGTTGCAGAGCATGATGCACATGAATCTGATATATCATTGGTTGCTTCATCAACAACATTCCATTCTGATGAGTGGATATTAGATTTGGGTTGCACCTATCATATGTCCCCTAATCGGGAGTGGTTCTCCGATTTAGTGGAACTAAATGCAGGAGTTGTTTATATGGGCAATGACATTGCCTGTAAAACTGTTGGGATAGGTTCAATTCGATTGAAGAATCAAGATGGATCAACCAGAGTTCTGACAGATGTCCGATACGTGCCCAGTTTGAAGAAAAATCCCATCTCGTTGGGAGCCTTAGAATCCAAAGGCTCAGTAGTCACTATGAGAGATGGAGTTTTAAAAGTCACATATGGCGCACTTGTGATGATGAAGGGCATCAGGAAAAATAATTTGTATTACTACCAAGGTAGTACAATTATTGGAGCAGGTGCAGCAGCTTCCGGAGGTGATAATTTGGACACAACCCAGTTGTGGCATATGCGGTTGGGACATGCTGGAGAGAAATCCTTGCAAATTCTGGCAAAGAAATGATTGTTGAAAGGTGCAAAGGCTTGCAAATTGAACTTTTGCGAGCATTGTGTTCTAGGAAAGCAGAAGAGAGTGAAGTTTGGCACCACTATACATAATACAAAAGGTATTCTAGATTATATTCACTCAGATGTATGAGGTCCTTCAAAGACATCGTCTTTGGGAGGAAACCATTATTTTGTAACTTTTGTAGATGACTTTTCCAGAGGAGTTTGGGTGTATCCGATGAAGTCTAAAGATGAAGTGCTTCAAATTTTCCTGAAATGGAAAAATATGATCGAGAACCAGACTGGTAGAAGATCAAACGTCTTAGGACGGAAAATGGAGGGGAATATAAAAGTGACCCATTCTTTGACGTTTTCCATGAGTATGGTATTGTTCGACACTTCACTATTAGACATACACCACAACAGAATGGGGTGGCAGAGCATATGAATCAAACACTATTGGAAAAAGTTCGATGTATGTTGTCTAATGCTGGGTTAGGCAAGGCATTTTGGGCTGAGGCTGTGACATATGCTGGCCATCTTATCAATCGTCTGCCGTCGTCAGCAATAGGAGGAAAAACACCATTGGAGGTATGGTCTGGAAAACCTGTTACTGATTATGATTCCTTACATGTATTTGGATCCACTGCTTATTATCATGTGAAGGAATCCAAGCTTGATCCGAGAGTAAAGAAGGCTCTCTTTATGGGAATCACCCATGGAGTGAAGGGATTCCGCCTTTGGTGTTTAGACACCAAGAAGATAATTTGTAGCATAGATGTTACCTTTGATGAATCTGCCCTAGTAAAGAAGGTAACAAGTGAAGTCGTCCAAACAAGTAGTACTCCGTAGCAAGTGGAGCATACTCCAAAACAGGTGAAGTTTCAGCAGACGATGATCCCAGAAGTTGATGCGGCTGATTCTTCAACTCCAATAGAAGAATTAGAAGATGAAGAGGTTCAAACCCAAGAACCATTGGAGACACCAGAAGCACTTGCAATTACAAGGCCAATGAGAGAAATTCGTAGACCTGCTCGATTTGTTGATACGGTGGCCTATGCTCTTCCAGTTGTTGATGATGGTATCCCTATCACTTACCAAGAAGCAATACAAATAAGTGGAAAAGTGCCATGGATGAAGAAATGCAATCTCTCCAAAAGAACAACACTTGGAAGCTGGCACAATTACTGAAAGGTAAAAGAGCCATTGGATGTAAGTGGGTATTTGTAAAGAAAGATGAATCTCATAACAAGAAAGATGTTCGCTACAAGGCACGGTTGGTAGCTAAAGGCTACGCTCAAAAGGAGGGAATCGACTACAATGAAGTATTTTCCCCTGTTGTGAAGCATTCCTCCATTAGAATATTGTTGGCCTTGGTAGCACAGTTGAATTTGGAGCTAACTCAACTTGATGTAAAGACGACTTTCTTGCACGGTGATTTAGAAGAGGAGATCTATATGTCTCAGCCAGAAGGATACAAAGATGGTGGTCGTGAGAAATGAGTTTGTAAGCTGAACAAATCGCTATATGGATTGAAGCAATCTCAGAGGTAGTGGTACAAGCGATTTGATAGCTTTATGAGGAGGCAAAAGTATACTAGAAGCAAATATGATCATTGTGTGTATTTGCAAAAGCTCAAAGATGGATCTTTCATATATATTCTCTTGTACGTTGACGATATGTTGATCGCTTCAAAGAGTCAAAAGGAGATAGACAAATTAAAGGCTCATATGAATCAAGAGTTTGAGATGAAAGATCTAGGTGAGGTCAAGAAGATTCTTGGTATGGAGATAAGAAGAAATAGACAGAGATGGAAGCTTTGTTTAACACATAAGCAGTATCTGAGAAAGGTATTACAATGTTTTGGCATGAATGAAAATACCAAACATGTAAGTATCTCATTGGCTTCTCATTTGAAACTTAGTTCTCAATTATCTCCTAAAACTAACGAAGAACGAGTGTATATGGTAAAAGTTCCATATGCTAATGCAGTTGGGAGCTTGATGTATGCAATGGTGTGTACGCGTCCTGACATTTCACAAGCAGTTGAAGTTGTGAGCAGGTACATGCATGATCTTGGAGAAGGACATTGGCAAGCTGTGAAATGGATTCTACGGTATCTCCAACAAACCGTGGATGTTGGTTTAGTTTTTGAACAGGATGAAGCACTTGGTCAGTGTATGGTTGGATATGCTGATTCCGATTATGCTGGTGATTTGGATAAGCGTCGATCAACTACTGGGTATTTGTTTACTCTTGCTAAAGCCCCAGTAAGTTGGAAGTCTACATTGCAATCTACGGTGGCCTTGTCTACTACAGAGGCAGAATACATGGCAGTTTCAGAGGCTGTAAAGGAAACAATTTGGCTTAACGGGTTGATGAAAGACTTGGGAGTTGTTCAAAGTCACATTAGTCTCTATTGTGACAGTCAGAGTGCTATTCACTTAGCGAAAAATCAAGTCTACCATTCAAGGACTAAGCATATCGACGTGAGGTATCACTTTGTGCGGGAGATCTTTGAAGAATGAAAGATTCTACTTCAGAAAAATGCGACATCAGAAAATCCTGCAGATATGATGACCAAGGTGGTAACAATAATCAAGTTCAATCATTGTTTGAACTTGATTAACATCCTGAAAGTATGAACACCTTCGGGTGTGTGGCGCTTGTGAGTGCAATTAGATGCACTACAAATTTGGGGAGTTGAAGAAGTTGAGTAGGCTTGGTAATTTCAAGCCAAGGTGGAGATTTGTTATATTTGTCTAGAAATTAAGTTGGCAAGTTGGAAATTTCATCTTGGTTGGTGGACAACTTATTAGAAATTTCATCTTGGTTGGTGGCCAAACTTTGAACATGTGAATTTCATATTTGGTGGCTAATTTGTACATATTGGAAAATTATTTGGTAGGTGGCCAAATTTTGAAAATATTGTTCTTGAAACTCAACTATAATTAGGCCTAAGTATTTCCATTAGAAATCATCCCAAAAACAAGTTCTCTCTTCCTCTTGTATTCTTCATTCTCCCACTTTGGGAATTCCAAAGAATTCCATTTGTTGTAATATTGGCGATATAGTAAAGTTATCATCCGGTGTGGTGCCCGAGGAGTAGACGATATTCTCGTCGAACATCGTAAATTTGGTGTGTTCTCTCCTTTATTGTTTTTTATTCGGTTCTTTTCCATTGTGTTTCAATATTCAATAGTTTGACAGGTTTATTCGCTGTGCAACCTTTGGTGGTTTTAATCTTGACAATTTAGGTCAATTTTAAAACTACGTTCGTGTGGGAAATAACCCGTTTTCCCCAACAATGGTAATGGTGTTGACGAGTAACTCTGGCTTCGATGGGATGGAAATGGAGAAAGGCGACGGTTTACAGTAAAATAAAGGTCTAAAGCAGGCAATGTGTTGCATAGTTTTTTATCTTCTTCGTTGAATCCAAACCCTAATTCTATGCACCCTTTGGGCTCCTTCAAATCTTCATCCGTCAATCCATTCTCTTTCGCGATCACCCCTTTCCTTCTTCTCTCCTGACGAAGAATCTGTCGCCGCCTTCTCTCCCAAGCAACCTCCCTAAAACACGAAATTGATAAGATTATGCAACAACGTTAAACTTTCTACAACCAAAAAAATATGACGAACCTTGAGGTCTCTAACATCGACATTTGCTTTTTTAGGAGTTTCTTGTCGATCATCAACGGAGGCGGCCGATGTTTCGATGCATTACGTTTTGGAACTTTTGTTTCGGAGTCATGGAATGATGAGGATTTAACGGCCTTCTTTGTCTCCGCCGCCTCCGATCCGTCCTCCTTCATCCTCTTCTTTTCCGCAAAAGCTATGATTCAAAACAAAATATAAGAATTCCGTTATCTAAACCTTGGAAGACATCGAATGATAACCTTTTCTTTTCACTTTTTATTTTGATTCGAAATCAAAACAAAATACAAAAGAAAAGTTTATTATAGCCGCGACAGCAGCCGAAGCTGAGGCGGCTTATCCACGATGAAAAGGTCAATGATGATGGATGGATGGATGGATGAAGGGAGCAGTGTTGAAATTATGTATATATTGAAAGGAATCATCAAAAGAAAACGGGGTGGAGATTCTATTGCTAAAACAATTCTTTGAGGCTATTAAATATTCATAGGTCTATGTATGCGTGTCGCTCATTCGGTCTAGCCGTTTTATTTTCAACAAACTTTATTTGTTTATTTTGATTTTAATTAGTAGGGAAAAAGTATAAGAGATATTTGGAATTTTGAAAAAAAAAATTAATTGTGCGTATTATGTTTTCTCTCAATGTGATCCTCCAAGTCAAAAAATAAACCTAATGTGGTCATTTAATCATTTTGTCGTTAACAGTTACGGTGCTAGCGTTGTAGCTTACGGTGTTGACATGGTGATCCACAGTGCTAACGTGGTAGTCCATTTGTCATGTTTGAGTTACCAATTTAGCTCATTTCTCATGTCATCCGCCTCATTATCAACTACTGTGAACTGTCATATATGTATTGTGCACCGTCACATTAGCACAGTGAACTGCCACATTAGCACTGTAACAGTCAACGATGAAAAGTATTAGCCAAATGGTCACATGGGGTTTATTTTATGAGTTGGAGTGTCACATTGAAAAAAATAATATGAAACTTGTTGATTTTTTTAAATGTACAGGAATCTCTAATCCATTTTTACCTAATTATTATAAGCATTACTAATATTTTGTCTAAGGCTTAGGGTCACTTTTGCCACTATAATAGATCTAATTTATTATTTTTATCCTTATGTTATTTTCACATCAATTTTGTCTCAAAGATGTTTAATTTCATTATTTTATACCCTAAACCTTGACTCTTAACCCTTAAACCCTAACTTAAAACTCCAAACTATAATATATATATATTTAAATTGTTGATGCAATGTGACAATTTTAAAAGTTAAATTAATACGAAAAAGATTAAAAAGATAAAATAGATTTATTATAATATCAAAAGTGATTTTTAAACTTTTATTTTATATCAATATTATTTCAACATTGTTAGTTTTATTTCCAATACCTTAAACAACTTTGCTAATGAGTGTTGATACATGTGATTGAGATCAAGGAATTTAATCTTATAAAGTCAAGTTTGAATCCTACTAGTGTCACTTTTAGAGGGTAATCTGTAAATTCCAATTGAATTTTAGATATGCTCTGGCCCTGAACTGGGGAGCTACCCGACCTAAACTTTAATGTACCAAAAAAATATTGTAAACAAGTATTTTAATGTTGAATATCTTTATTTAATGCTTATACAAAATTAGTATGAGTTATAATATCATATTTCACGTAAATGTATTTATAACTAACATTAAATATAAAGGGCAAAAAGATATTGAAGGTCCACATACTTTTATTGAAAAAATAATATGATCATCTTATTATTTTTTAATGTACCTTTTTGACTAACGTTTTTCATCGTTAATCGTTATAGTGCTGATGGGATAATTCATGACGCTGACATGACTTTCTACGGTATTGATATGACAGTTCAATTTTCGTGTTTAATTTACCAATTTAACCCATATGTCATGTTACCGGGCACGATATAAACCACTGTAGACTGTTACATTAACATTATGAACCGTCACTTCAGTACAATAACAGTTAACGATGAAAAATAATGGTCAAAGAGTCACATTAAATTTATTTTTTGAATTAAAGAACCACGTTGAATGAAAAAAATAATACAATAACTACATTGATTTTTAAAAAGAATATGCATTTTTGCGAATTTAAATTCAAATATTATAAATATTTTAATCTCAGTCTCCGCTACCCTTTTGAACCCTCCACGATCCGCAACTTATTCAAACTCCGAATCCCAACCGTTGTTAAATATCTCATCGTACCGCCAAAATTCTAAATTTCCAACACCTAACGATCCGCGCCATTTTATTTTCAACCGATAACCTTTCACCATTTTCTTATAAAATCTACATCTCTCAGCCGTTTCTTACTAAAAATAGAAAAAAGCTTCCGAATCTACTAGGACTCATAAACTCGTTGAATTGACTCATGGCTTCCGTTGTTGCCTCCGTCGCGAAGAAGAAAGTTGCTGGCTCTAAGAAGCCGAAATCAGCTTCTTCACTAGAAACCTTTGGTTCCTCTCTCTATATTATTATCGATTTTTAATTCAGTTTCTGAATGATTTTTACAGATGATTTCAGAAGCCATCGTTACGTTGAAAGAGAGGAGTGGATCGAGCCAGTATGCGCTCACTAAATTCATCGAAGAAAAGCATAAACAATTACCGTCGAATTTTCGAAAGCTCTTGCTTGTTCAGATGAAGAAGTTCGTTGCTTCTGGAAAACTCGTCAAAGTTAAAGCCTCTTTCAAACTACCTTCGGCTTCCGCTGCAGTTAAGAATCCCGTCACCGCGAAGCCTAAATCTGCTACTACCACGGCCGCAAAATCCAAGCCGAAGACGGCAAAAACCGCGGCGAAGCCGAAAGCGAAGGCCAAAGTAGCAACGCCTGTGAAGGCAAAGGCTAAAATTACGGTGAAACTGAAGGCTACGACAAAGGCTAAAGCTAAACCAGCGGCCAAGCCAAATAAGGTGGCAAAGACGGCCAAGAAGAGTTCACCGGGGCATAAAGTAAAGACTCCGGCAAAGAAGAAGGTTGTAGTGGCGAAGAAACCAAAGAGTTTGAAATCGCCGGCTAAAAAAGCGGCGCCAAAGAAGGCAATGAAGTAAAGAGAGTGGAACGTTTACTTGTAGGACTTGGGAGGTTTTTTTTTTCAGACGGTGTAAATTTGGTGGTAGAATAGGGGTAGTTATGGATTTTAGACCGATATATGTGATTTATGTTGGTTTATTTATATATAAAACAGGTTATGCTTTATGTGTCATTTTATCAGTTTTTTTTAATCTTTCTATTTATTAGTAAGATTCGTGATTTCTGTTTTCCTTTGAGGTTTATAAGTTGGTGCTTAATTTCATCTGGAGAATAATTTTTTGTTCATGGTCTTAATTATAATGTTTTTAATGATGGTATAAAAAGGTTATTTTAATTAATTCCATTGATTTTTATAGGAGTTGGTAATTTAGGGAATTATGTGCACAAGCACAACTTTTCTGCTCTGGATTTGTATTATAATTGAATATGCGTTTTGTATTTTGTGTTTGTACATAATTTTCTCGCGTCATTCGATTTTAGAAAAAATTCTAGGGATTTAGTGAGAAATTTTCAAGCATCAAGAAAATTAATACATGAACATTTTTTTAACAAACGCCAAGAGTTTTTCCTAAAATTTTCATTATAGTCACTTAAATAGTGCCCTTTTCTTAGTACTGCAATGCATTAAACAAGAAATATACCTTTTCAATCATAATTATGCATAGTTAAATAAATTTAATATGAAACCATTTATGTAATAATATTTACCATGTTCATGTATTTTATAATTTTAAAGCCATATTTCGCATTATATCTCATAATATATATATATATATATATATATATATATATATATATATATATATAAAGCTAGGTAAGAATACAAACTTACAAAACATATACAATTCACATGAATGCAAGCCATTGTAAAAATAAGTTGTCTGCTAAAATTGAAACAAGCTAATTACTATTCAGTTTCAAAACATCCATATAGCATGACAGGGCAGGAATTCAAGTCTACTTCCCAGCTTAATAGTTAGTATTTAGTAAAAAAAAGAAACACTAGATGTTCATGATTCAACCGTGATGTTAGCATTACTCGCCTCGGCGATTTTAGAAGGCGTAGCTTTTGTCGCCTCTTTTACCTGTTTTGCTCGATCTTTAGCCCTGCCAGAGAGATTACCGGTCTGTCCACCAACCCGGCCTTTACTTTTTAACTCATTTGCAGTAGGGGATCGCTCGATATGGTTACCTAAACTGTGACGGTGAGTCCGGGAGCAAGCTTTTGCTTTTTCGTCCTGAGATGAGCGGACTGCATCACTGCAGCTCTTTCTCCGGGAAAGATTTGGTGACTTTGGCCGAGTCAATGGCAGCTGAAACGAAATAGAAGCAAGATTGAAATGTTCCATTATCCACCAAAACTGCATGAAACATATGTGATGCATATGTTCGAACATGTAACTTCATGGAACATGTAACTTCGAGGACTCGAGAAAAACAGGGAGAAAAGATCGACCGGGAATACCTTCTTCAGTTCAACCTTTCGTGGATGTCCTTCATAGTAGAAATCAGGAATCGGATTTGCTTTGACAACCATGCTCTTTCTAAGCTGTTTAAGGGCTGCTTCTTGCTCTTCCTGCAAGAAAGCAAGGAGGCCCATTTTTGTTAAATCTAACCAAGTCGTGGAGAAGTATAATATTCTGAATGCCACGTACCTTGGTCCGGGCCTCGCACTGGCTTCTCTCCGCCTCCAAAGCTCGGTGTTTTCCCTCCAACTTTTGGTAAAACTGGATTGATAAAAGAACATTTATACTTGGATAGCTTGGGAAATGAAATACGGAAAAAATCGACAACTGAAAAGGTATCAGAAATAGTAGGACAAAGAATTTACCTCCCTCCGTTTCTCAGCTCGTTCAGCACTTCTAAAAGATGGAGCAGATCCAATAGTTACCCTTGACCTAGCAGTTCGAACAGATGCAGCCGTACTAGATACAGTTAAGGAAGAAATATGATAATAGTGTTCGTAACACCCCAAAATTTCCCCAAATTAAAACTAAATTTTACCCAAAATTAAAAACCATAGAATTTGGGAAATTTTCTTTGAATCCCTAATTTTGATTCAGTGGCTATTTCGTAAGAGAAACCAAGTTTGAATGTTACTTTGGAAATCTTTGAGAACAACGAGGACCATCCCTGTAATTTAACTATTTTTACCAGAAACATATCAACCCTAATTTTGAAACTCCACGAGCTACCGCCTTCAAGCTTTTTATCTATTTTTATTTTCTATTCCTTCGTGCGTTGTTCCTTCTGGTTTACCCATCGTCTTTCACATCGAAGCTCATCGCCGACAAAGCTAAACAGCGTACACCCGCCTTGAACCATCGACCGCCTCTCGTCGCATTCCCTAACGTGGCCACCCTGTCGTCGTCGTTTCAAGCTTTGGAGGAAAATCATGACCTTGTTTTCGTTCTCGGAAGTTTCCGATCGTATGGGGAGCTATTGCAGTACCTTTATAGTGACCTTGGACGAGTTAGTGGCTTTAATCAGAGATCGGGTATTGATGGTTTAAACACTTGGGTTGGAGCTAATCATTCTTCTATATCAAATGCTTCTGGAATCACCGATAAAAAGGATTATGAGAAGTGGAGATCTTACCATACCTCTTGCTGTGATTTGATGAGGTTACTTTCTCACCAACTCAACCTATTAAATCCAATAAGACAAACGTGATTGTTTTAGTTTGTACAGGGAGCTATTTATATTCGTAAAGGCATGGTCTTGGCATAAACAATTTGTTTATCCAAGGAAAGCATGGATTCAAGGACGCATGACTTGTTTGAGTTTTGATTCGAAGAGGGGACATCTAATCGAAAACGGAAGTATCGCCCCTCCATTGCTAGCGCTCGATTTGAACTCACTCGGATAACTAGAATTGACCGTGAGTATTAGTTAATACGTTGGCATTAGCTATGGTTCTCATATTAGATTAGAATAGTAAATTATTTGTTAATTATTGTGTGGTAATTGATTCGGGTCGATCCTCTGTCCAAGTTGATCGTGATAGGCGCTACTTAGAGAATCTTATTTATTTTCAGATAAATTATTATTTCATTATGATTTTTATTCTACTTTTCATTCGAGGAATATTTTGGTAACACTAGTATTAATTTTTAAGTTTTTAAATCGAGCATGTTTTTCGTAAGGGATAAGTTTCTTCATAACTCTCTAGATTCGACCTAATTTCTTTTAGGTTGGGTTTTGGGTTACAAGAAGTCCCTCGATAAAAATAATAATAAAAAAACTGCTACCAACTAGTTGAATGTACCATGTCATAAAACCAAAGAAAAGGATACGAGGAAGTGACGGACCAATTATCTTCTTCATCAGGAATCTTCCTGCCATATGGTTGCAATGGCTTCCTCGACATTGGAGTGGTCACCGGAGAGTACGGCTGAGAAAAATGGCAAAATAAAAAAGATCAGCACCTTACACATATATCAGCAAATAAGTAGCATCAATGATCTGAAACCGAGCAATTACACTGATTTAGACAAACAAAGGAAAACCGGCCATGGAACGGCCATTAAAAGCAAAACATTGACAGGATCGTTTCAACATGCATATAAAAATGGCCGTAAACCACAGATCAAAATTTCATTTTGAAAGAAAACATTATCGCTAGATTTCCTATCGGAAAATTCACTATTGCCACGTATGGAAATCTCCAACTGCACATGAAGAAGCAATTGCTTATCGGTTTCTTACAGATCAGACCTCTTATGAAGAAAACTGCCAATCCGAGTGTCAAAAACCAAACTATATATCAAATAATCTGGATCACAAAATTTCACTCTTACTCAAGAATTGGAGTTACCTCTGAACCCTTCGTTGAAGTAGGGGAGAGCGTAGTGTCAACATTTGCGGTGCCATTTGCACCATTAGATCTCGATGCATTTGTGCCAAACTTGTTGTCCATGGACTTGTGATCTTCAGCCTTTTCATTTTTCTCTTCAGGGATGTCAGTGCAATAATTAGTGCTTTTAACACCCAGCAGTTCTTGCTTCTCATGATCAATCTCGACGACTGAGTTTTTTTCGGTGCATTCCTTGACCTCATACCCATTCGACTCCGTGCCCTTTGGAACTCTCAGATTACAGTTTGATTTCACCAAGCCATTTGGCTTATTGTCCTTGCCAGCATCTGTGAGTTCCCTCCCCATTACACTGCATTAGAAAAAGTTGAGCATCATAACAATGAGGAATTGGAAATTATTGGGTCGGAAAAGGCAAAAACAGAGGAAAGGGAAAAAGGTAATAGACAATTCATTTTCATATTATGTCGATATGCATACGATGTTTCATGCACTTGCGATGAACAAACTACGCTTAACAAGGTACACGGCATTGAAAAATCGACTGAAACAGGCAGTTTAAAGCTGCTAAATCAAGAACTACACTAACAATGTCTAGCATTGCATGGTTATAAGAGATTTGAAACAAGATTCATATATAATCCACAGACTGAAAACCCAAACATCAAATAAAACGGCCATTTCGTGTAGATCGGACTATGATCTGCGGTCTGAATTTCACATCTGAGCTAAAACATGCATCCTGGTCAACATTGAATGAAAAATGCTTCACATTCAGTGTTATTCAGCTTTGTCTCCTCCTAATGGAAAGCTTCCAACATGCACATCAAGTGATTGAATTCTATTTCCAAAGAATCCCTTTTTCTTTTCCAAGCCTTGCAATGCTTTCACTTTGTTTCAACATTGGAAGATTCCAGAAAAGGATTTATGGATCCTTCAACTACAAATTGTGAGGAGTTCAACTTTTAGATTTAACTTAATAGAGAAGGGGGAGAATGGATTTCCACAAATCCAACACTTTGAGACCAAACTGAGAAAGCCCAGAATGGATAAATCCCAGATGGACAAATAAAAACCCAGAAATTTACCAAAAACTCTTCATTTCCTAGCAAACATTCACATAAAACAAACACAAAACCTTGAAAAAAAACGAGCAAGATGGAAAATCAGTTAAATAGATGAGCCGCATTGCTCATTTTAAGACCAAAA